TTTAGGAAGCCCAAACACAATGACTTCAGTTTTACTTTCATTTAGATGTAGGAAGTTAAGAGCCATCCAAGTATTAATGTCAGACAGACAGGAGAATAACGGCTGCAAAGAGTCCTTACAGTCTAACCTCAGAGGGAGGTAGATCTGAATGTCATCAGCAAAGGTGTGGAAGGACACATTATGTTTGCGCAGCACATCGCCCAGAGGGAGCAAATACAGAGTAAACAGCAGGGGGCCTAGAATGGACCCCTGAGGTACACCACAAGTTAAAGGAGCTCTGGGAGATGACATGTACATACATATACATATACATACATACATACATATACATATACATACATACATACACATATATACATTTGTATGCCTTTTGATGTTTTGATTATGTTTTGATTATTGTACAGTGTGTTCTGCACTCGAAGCCACAGATAACCCGGAATCAAATGAATTTTCAAAATGCTACTTCTCTATTTTCTCAGAGCAAACAAATTTATCTGATACAGTCAACACTGACTAATAAAGGAGCCACCCCATATTTAAATAGGACAAGATGTCCTGGAGGTGGAGTCACCTAGCAAACCCTCATCAACACTGCCTGCGGCAGGTGAAGCTCTCGCTGTTGCACAGACAGCTGATGCATGTTTAGCTAAACGCTTTACTTCTATGCATGAAACAGTTGGGCAATGCTGCTCATGTTCTTACTTTCTGCCGGAGGAAGTTCTAATGCACACATTTTATCAGATCATAGCAGAACTGATAAAATACAAGTCTGAAAAGATGCTGATGGGACACAGCGTGTGACTGGAGTGCTGTGTGACAAATTGTGGTTTCTTCGTACCTCGCAAGTCAAATGTTAGATCTCGGAAGTGACGGAAGTTAAAAAATAATTTTAAAAAAGGGTTTGTTTTGCTTCTTAGCAAGTATGGCTATTTGGGCATTCAAAAATGGCTGATGTGGTGCATTTTTGCCTTTGGAACATGCTAAAGAGTTCTTGTTAATGATACACACTTTAACACTTTTTCCAGACGATTGACTTTTATACAACTTGCTATTTTCTGGTACATGAGATTTGGAGGGGCAGCAAACAGGCAGGCAGTTATCCAACAATGAAGTCCTTGTCCATGCTGTCATTTCCATAGAGTGTTTGAAGCAGATTAGCAATACCAGCTATCCTCTTCAGTCTACCCGAGAAAAGGCAAGTAACTATTTGAACAGTTATTAAAGTAGTCAAATGAGCTTGCAAAGAAAAGCGTCTGGACTTCTTTAAGTTGCTCCTCTTTTTCACCGTGTGGTCAGATTTCCATACGGCGTTGTTTCGTGCTCTCCCACTAACTCGTAACGCAGGGAAAGCGGTCACGATGTCCGGAGGTCTGGATGTCCTTCAAATGAAGGAGGAGGATGTGCTGAAGTTCCTGGCAGCGGGAACCCACCTGGGAGGTACCAACTTGGACTTCCAGATGGAACAGTACGTTTACAAGAGAAAAAGCGACGGTGTGTACATCATTAACCTTTTCAAGCAACTTAAAGAAGTCCAGACGCTTTTCTTTGCAAGCTCCTTTGACTACGATGACCTGGATGACTGAGAACCTTCACAGAGTTATTAAAGTAACCTATTTGCCATTAAAGACATGCCAGCAGTGTGAGAACAGCAGCACCTGCTGGTCCTTGTGACAAAGTGGAGGAGCAGTTGCAATGTTCTCCATTTGTCCCATATGCGTTTACCTTTTTTTGCACATTGTACACATTATTCTGTTTCTATGTATTTGCTATGATTTGCTATTTGTCAAGTAACATTGCTTCACTCACTATCCTGGGTTTGTTTGTGTAAGCGTTCGGTTGCCGGCAAATCAAACATTCTGCAAATTAAGACAAATACTAAGTTATGTTTCTTTATATTTTATTATGTTACAGATTAAGTCATTTGTTCATACTCAGGTGTGGAGAAACACCCACCTGGCATTTCCTCATTTTAAAGTCCTGCTGATGTCACATATGACATCAGCAGGTCAAACCAAGTGGAGGGGTTTCTTTTTCCACAGAGATGCTTCCTTTTGTTTGTGTTAAGGTTTAAAGGGATTTATTGAATGTTTTCCCTTTCGTTAACACTGCCATTTAGTTGTGTAAATGTGCATGTTAGAAGTGTGTAGAGGTTTTGTGTTTTTAGATAATCTGTGTAGAGTTTTAGATCCCTCAGTTGAGTGAGTGGTACTAGCTGGGCAATTGGAGGGAAATTGATGGCCCTATTTAAAGCCAGTCTCTACCAGATGCAGGAGAGAGGAGAGTTTATTTGGGGAGGAAGTTTTGTTAAGTTACATTAAATTAAGTTCGCTGTAAATAAATTGCTCAACTTGGAAACCTGAAATGTCTGCATAGTCTGCTTCCCTACCACCTTCCTTGACGTTCGAGTCTGACTACTTCACAGTCCTTAAATACCAAACACTGATTGGGCAATGCAAAGCAAGTGTTGAGTTAAAGACCGAAAAAAGGGCACAGTAACCGCCCGCCCACCTCTTCCCCTGAGAGGGGAAAAAAAACAAGCCTTGTAGGCGTTGCTTTCAGTTAGCATTGCTTTGTCTGTTATGTTGGCTTTCATCCTCTCTTAATTTAATTCTTAACATCTTTTAAAAAACCTAAAAAATTTAAAACGGACCCAAACAGTCTCCTCACATTCCTCCACCTGGTGTTAAGTAAGGTTAGAATTATATAACAATTTCTTTACAGACATGAACAAAATCCAAGGCAGCTTATAAATATTTATCCCAATGTTTATTACAAAATAATCCTCCAAAATTTCTTGCGCAGGTACACCCAAACAAAAAAGGTCCAAGGACATTATGCGTACATCTTATTTAAAACGAGAAGATTGTGTACTGCCAGTGTATGCAGTTCAATTACCATTTAAAGCTGTTTAACTGTACAACATAAAGTCCCTTACTTAGCAGCATTAAACCCAAACAGATTTGAACATTTGTGCATATACTCAATTCAGCATACTGAATCTGCAACAACAGATATTGATTCTTAATGAAACAGTGATCCTGCATTGGATTGCCTACTGGCAACTACTTGTAATGGCTTTTACCGGCACCCAGTTGTTATGTTCTGCAACACTGATGTAAGGCACAAATCCCTTTGTGTAACAGAAATATTGAGGCTGAAACAAACAAAATAAAGAAGGCTTAACAGAACAAAGAGGATTAAGAAGATAAAAAAATATATATATTACACCTTTTATTCTTAAGAAACCCTGAGAAATTATTTTGGATGATATCTGCAGCAACACAAGCATCAGATCTAGAGCTGGGCATTGTTCAGACGTTTACGGGTACAATTAAACTGCAGTGTAAAATTTACCAAATGTAATACTTAAATTATCAAACCAACTCAAACATGAGTTCAATCGTTCTTTTTAGGTGATGAATTGTATTGTTATTTGTCCTGTTTTATTTAAATTATTTATTTATTTTTGGAGAAGTCTCAGTATATTTTAAGCACTGTATGCAAAATGTTTTCATATCATTGCTGTATTTTATTGTAAATAAATACCCAGCTCTTATAACCAATTTAACCCGCAAAATGTACTTTCCTACATACAATCGTAGCATGAAAAGACCCATACAGATGAACCATAGTACTCTGCAATGCTTTACATTTGAATTGGCTGATTATATGTCATCTGTTCATGATTTTCACACCGGCTGGCACGCGACATACAGAAAAAATCCAACAGAAAGTATGAATTAAATATTACAATCAGCTCTTAAAATTCACGTTTGATTTACAGGCAGCTGACGGGAGAACTGCTCAGTGTTCATAGGCTATTTGAATTACATTAACTTGGTAACTCTCCTTACACCTGGCTCATTTTCTACGTGATAGAAATTCAGTAAATTATGCAATACAGAGCCAACTTTTCAATTCTTGGCCATTTTTCATGTCCTTAATCTCAGGACAAGGTAGCTAACACACAGCTGCACTCTAGCTGGCAGCTTTTGTCTACTAAAATGTGGCCTTTCTTAGTCTGTATCAGCTGTAGTTATGCTGAACTTTATGTGATACTAAAATATAGAAAATCAGACCCAATGACTTTAAATGTGGACTCATTTTCCAATGAGAATTCTCAAAATGAGGCGTAACTTTACACTTGATGGCTACTTAAAATTCACATTCATTCTTTCTGTGCAGTAAGTGGGCATTTCAAGCAAAAGCAAAATCTAGCAATCCAACCAGTATAGTACCTACTAAGTAACATTAGACAATCTGGTAAAGAAAGGTACAAGATTTGGTGAGACAAAGACAAAATATAATGTATTATATTGCAACGCAACAGCCAGTCCTGCCTGTTCAAATGTTGTCAACTCATTTAAGGTATGTGCCAGTCCCTTCTGTCCAGCAAAAGTTTTTTCTCCTTACAGTATGTGAAACAAACACATGTTCATTTGAGCTGGAAGCAGGAGGAACTGGAACATCACTAAGCTCTATTATTGCCTAGAAGTTAAAGTTTGGTGCTACAAATATTTTTGGCTGGAGAGACCACATCTTAGATTTGGATCGTGTACTCTGTGCCACATTAGATACATCTGAGCTGGAAGAAATCTGTGCACAAGTAAAACCTCTTTATAAAAGCAAGGATGGTATTGGTCTATACTGTGGGATGGAACGTGTTGTCCTGCTGTCTTGACGCCCATGTGGGAAGTGGGGCCAAGTCCTGCCTTGGCCAGACACATCCCCATGTAAACATCATCAATGGGAAGAATGGTAATAGACTGGGACATATTGTAAATGACTGAGGCTGTATAGCCAGAGAGGAGGAAGCCCCCGCCACCACAATAAGGAGGGTACGAGTTTGACTCCTGCACCTGAACAGGAATATAGTACTTGCTGTTTGTTGATCTAATAGGGCCCACATTTTGGATCAGATGGCCAGTAAAGAGGTGCTGGCTTCCGTCATTGTCATTGAGGCTTTGCAGATACTCGACCATGTTGTCTGTGTTGGCAAAGACGTCGTCATCACCATTCAACAGGAAGTGGGCATTGGGACAGTTCCTTTCCATCCATTCAAGAAAGAGTATCTGCTTCAATGTAAGGTTGTAAAATGTGTCACTGAAATCCCATTGGAGGATGTCGTTGTGCTCCTGTTGCTCCAGCTCCAGAAGCTTGTTCAGCCTTTCCTTCTCAAACCCGCTCTCTGTCGTTCCTGAGATGAAGATCCGTCGAATCCACACACCGTTGTGTAACCTCTCTTCACCCCACGTTTTGCGCAGCACCTCTCTGCGTTCGTAGTTCCCCGGAGAGCTTTTAATGACCAGAAGAAGAAAGACTTCTCCAGATTTATCAGCTCCTCCACATTTGTCCGGAACGTCCAGTAGCATGGAGAAGTGGCGACAGTGGCGATAGTAGAGGAAATCCTTGATAGAATTAGGCAAAGAGTTGAACTCAGCGATGTTGGCAGCAGATGTGTTTTGTTGACATTTTGGCCATGAGAATACATATGTGCTGTTTTTGGTGTTTTGCGTCAGTCGGCTGTGGTCCTCTCTAACATCTACGTGGAAACTTATAGTTTTATGGTCAACAAAATCTTTGCAAAGGTGAAGGAGCAAAAGCCCGAGTGCTACCACCATCAATACATTTCTTGCCCTGATGGTTTTCATCTTCAAAACTCTGTAGCGACAAGACAAAAGACAGAGATTGATTAAGATCAGAATGAAACAAGACTAACCGTGGAAGTTATTGAGTAGAAGCAAGTACAAGCATGCAGTGAGCCAAAGCCTTATAGATTTACATACTACTTGTGCAGTGCATAAGACCCTCGCATTCTTCTTGAAAGTTCCTTTAGGGTGATGTGGTTAAACCCGCAACTGTAGCATACATTGCACTGACAAGGGCATAACTTGCTGGGAACTTGCAATTTGTTTTGTCAGAGTATTGCTGGCCACTTTAAGACCTATGTTCCCTTTATTAGCTAACAATACAGTGGTTTTTAAACACTTGTTGACTTGTTTGTATGTTACAATTGCTCTCTATATCTGTGGCATTTAGGCATAAGGTGAAATTATTTTTCAGAATATGATCCTTCGCTCTGAATGTGGTTTTAAGAGTAAACTTGTGATTTCCTGAAACATGAGGACAGAGTGCAATTTAACTCTAGAATGATCACGTACCAGCGTTAGCTCAGTGATCGTTACAATGGGGCCTTATTATAATGTTGCCTTTGTCTTGTCTTGTAATGTGATACTGTATCAGTAAGGGTTGTGTCACTTTGGTGTGACTGTGTTTGCAGGCTGAGATCTATACTGAGGTTTCACCTGTTAAAATCAATCCTCAAACAGCTTAAAACGCATCAATGGGTGTTATATTCCTTCCAACAGAGCTAATGCTGGTGCCTTAATGGTAGACTGTGTGGTGCACATGGGTTGACCATTCAAAGCATTCATCTTCCTGTTTTAAATTAAACAGAACATGTGTTGCGTTGAAAATTTTTGTGCATGCACACAAAATGCAACACGCATGTAACAGCATATGTTTTTCACACATCCTTTCTACAGTACAGGTGATGTTTGTTTTGCAAAAGACTGAAGCATCATTTTAACTACCAAATTCTTTGCTGTAGCCCTGACACCTCGTGGGATGTGGCTTTACACTTATGCAAAACTAACATTTGGGTTTAAATTGAAAAGAAAGCAAAAACCCCCCAACAAAAAAACATACAAAAACACTTGGGCAGCAGGAATGCAAACTCACCTGCACCACGACATGACTCTCAGAGTGACAAGCCAGCAGGAGTGAGGAGACCGAGCTTCAGAGCAGACATGAGGCAGCTGGACATGTGCCTGAAAAATCCACACACGGGATGCTGTCACACAAAATAAAAATAAATCAAATGTTGTTTTGTGTCCTCAGAATGGATGGAATATGTTACATAGGCTGTGTCTGACATTGAGTAATAAAACCACACAGTCATTTCGAAAGAACCATTAAGGGGGAAAAAAGAAAGAAAGAAAAGGAAGTTCCCGGTCCACACAAGCTTTTGTGTGTTTTTTAAATGCAAATCTGACAGCAATAAAACTCAAAATGTGCAGTGTAAAAGTGTTCAGCAATCCTTAAGCATGTTAGTGCGGTAGGACAGCTGCGGCAGATTGCTTTATGTTGTTATTAAAGCAGAATTTTCAGTGTTGACCAGTTTTAACTGTTACTAGTTTTCTTCCTCTTTTGTTTTGCGTGATTTTTGTGTAGTTGGCACAACATCACGGTAAAGTCGGGAACGATGGGCTTAGCTTTTGATTCCACAAAAATGAACTGGAAAACAGAAGTTAACTGCACAGTGTCGTGAGTATTTGATTTGTGACAGCCACAACATCAAAAACAATTAAAAAGATGAATGACATATAGGCCTTTTTTAAAATTATTTTTGCTGTGTGTGAAAGTGTTATTTACTAGGATCGCTGAATATTTCTATGCTTATTTCAATTTCCTGCTACAATACAAAGGACAATTGTTAACCAGTTACATACTGTGCAGACTCACAAATACAGAAGGCTAGTTTTGTAAAAAGCAAAATGATAAACAGCATTCAAATTAGAGTCTTCTGGACAAGGTAGAGCATGATTGCACAGGTTTTAAGTACACTTTTCTGGTTAAGACTTTCCCTTGTAATGTGGTTTTTACTTTGTGGTGTTTCTACTTTCAGACAATAAGAGCTCCTTTCAGTCTTGAACATGTCCAGACTATTCTCAGGTACAACAGTCATTTGAAGAGATTTACTTTTTAATCGGCAAGTCCAATGGTTATTATATATATTTCTTATTAAATCCTTTCATAGTGTATTGTCATCCAAGCATCAGTAGCCACAGGCTGTAATTTTTTTTTGCCAAATATTATATTTTATTTTTGTTGTTTGGTCTTTGTTGTCTCTGTTCTCCAGTTTGTTTTAAGATGGTGCCATTTAGTGGGTTAATATCTGCCAGCTCCATCACACAGAAGGCGTATTAAACAAATGTAATTTTTCTAAACCATCAGGAGATTAAAAGAAGCATTGGTGAACATTTAAGTCCACTTTTTGTTTTTTTTGTTTTTTTTAAATAGTGTCATATTGTTGAATACACAATAGTCGAGCTTTAAGCGACTATTATTAGTTTGTTTCCGGATTTTGACATTTCTTTGGCTTCCACAAACCAGACAGAGTTTGTAAGTAAGCAGAGTAAGCAGAGTTACACGCCGCGCATGGCTGAAGCATCAGAAGACATTTATATTTAGCTTTCGTCGAGTTCTCATATAGCTAGTCATGCCTAAAGTATTGTAAACTAATCTAGGGGACAGTTAAGATTCATAAAATAAGAGATTTTAAAAAGCGACACTCCAAAATATATTTTTTTTAAACAGCATTTGTCGTCTATGCGTAATTTCTCAGGAAACTGTGTTATTATAGCCAGTAATATATAGTACAAACTAAACATGTGATGCTCCCTATACCAGATCCCGTTACTTTACGGAAACTTTATTCGAGAGTTATAATTTCCAGGACGCGCACGGGCACAGAGACAGCACTTCGCGAAGCTGCTGTGTACAGTACTTACAAGTTTAAGAAGATCGCCCCTCTCCTGTGTCTGTAGTGAAGTCAGACTAATAGTGAATCCAGAATCCGGTGGCTGAAAAGCTCAGGTCCCTGCACTGCAGGGCGTTGTTCTGTCCGCCCCGAACAGGAGTGCGTCATCTCCTCATCTACTGCCTGTCGGTAACGATCTGCGATCATCCCGCTATGACTAATTTCTTTCACAATTTCAATTACTTTGACTGTTGATTAATAACAAATATCTATAGAAATAATATTACTTATGATTATTATAGGATATATGATATTATAATACTTTAAATGAAGTATTATAAGTATTACAATATCATTAAGAGCTGCTTAAATAAAATGTACTACTGATGATTACCTAATAATAAAACCTTAAAAGTAAAGGTTATTCCCTATTAGAGTAGCTGTAGGAGGTGGAGCACGTCATCAACTTATCAGAAGGTTGGTGGTTTAATTCCTGGCTGCTCTGGTCTGCATGTTAAAGTATCCTTGGATAAGATACTGAATCCACTGGATTGTGAATGCGTGTGGATGTTAGATAGAAAGTACTTAGAAAAAGTGCTTGGGTGATTGAGGTATTCACCATTTATACATCCACTAGTAGCATTTTACACAACGCAGTCTAAGGAAATCCTTTAGCAGAATTTACGAAAGATCACATTATCCAGTTAAAGATTTGAGCTTCCTTTTCAACCAAATCGGACACTTAATGTAGTTAAAACTCTACTTGTAGGGTTAGTCGTATCTGTAGAGACAGAGGTCACAGTAGGACACAGGTAAATATCACCACAGTAAAACAAGAAGACCTTAACTCATATGGATGGTAAAATGCTTTTAAGGGCTTGGCCTTGAGATTTAAATATTTCCCTGCACTTTGTCTTCAGAAGCTTTTTAATCCCTTTCGGATTTATCGTGAAAATATTTCTTCATCTTTCCGTTTTGGTTTTTTCTGTCTATACAACACTTTTCAGGCATGCTTCTGTGTAAATTTCAACCAAAATAAAAGGAAGTTCTTTCTGAAAGCCTGTTCTTCCTTGTTGGAGTGCTGCCATGACCATTATTACTCTTCCAGTGATCTTCGTTGTTTAAGCGCTCATGGTCTTAAATTTCCTCTATTTTGCACACAGTTTTTTGACCGGGGCTAGAAGGACTCCAAACGCTTTCAAGAACCTTTTGTACATTTTAAAACTCATTTTCCACGCTGCCAAGCATCAACAATGATAAGTCAAACATCTTCAAGAGTTGAATACTAAAAGTGTTCGCACTCCCTGCTGATTCCTGACAGAAAACACTTGATCCCAAGTCCACCTTCAAGTTTATGTTTAATCCCAGAGGCTGTCCTACTTTGCTGTCCCCACACGTTGAATGATTTATAATTGAATGATTTAGCAATTTTGAATTGATCGAGCATGTTTGCCTCGCGTGTTCAACCTTTAGCACTTGGGTGAAAAAATTACAAATATTTCAGTTCATATTTACACTGAAATCTACATGTTTACATGAGGCATAACAACTAAACATAGAACGTGAACCTCAAGGTTTAGTTGCCATCGGCATTGGCATCTTTTTAGCCGAGAGTTAAAAGTGCTGAGTTAAGCACAGCATAAAAATACCGCTGTAGTATATGGAAATATAAATGCGGTTATAGTTTCTGCTGTCATGACACTAAAGCAATTTGGAGAAATGAAAGAGAAAGACAGGGAAGGGGAAGAATCTAAAGCTTAATTTTACTAGACTAACTGCATTTCACTGTGAAATATGGATTAAAAACTCACCAGTGCTAGGACTGAATGTATTATGCTCTGTGTGAGTTTGCAATACCTATGTAATATGCTGTGTAATCTCTTTTAAAGAGTGAAACAATGGACAGCGCAGTTGACTACGAACCTGGAAAAATATGTGGCTGTAAGGTGATATGCAGCTTTTTAGTCACCAGATCTCAACTCGGGTGAATACCTGATGGAGAATTCGGACCTGTATACTAAACAGCGCACTCCACCAAATGAAGTGATATCTTATGGAATAGTGGGGTTTACCCCTACAGCAGACTATCAAAGTCATTTAAATATAATGGGCAAGTATCAACTTTAAATCTCCCCAATTACATACAGACCAATTGTCTGTATCATCAACTCGGTCACCTATAACATGTCAAAGTTTCTGGCTTCAATCCTCAATCCGTTAGCAGGAAGCTCTAAACACCATATCCAGAACACCTTGGATTCTGTTGAGAAGGTGATGTGTTTTGTAAACACACATGGATCAGTGTAATCAGTCTGACTCTCATCATCCATTGGAGCATAAACTGGGTGTCATCAGGACACTACAACACGGAGCAAATTACATCCCCACAGACCGAGTGGCCAGGAAAGCAGAAGAACATCACATCAAGAAGGCCCTGAGTAGGCCCAGCTGAACATTTGTCAAAGCCTTCCCAGCTTTGGCAAAAAGAAAGCTCCAAGGTATCCAGGAGAGAAGGACAACTGCTGCCTAAGCACTTTAGTGATCCCTTGTGTGTCAGGAGTACGGGAACAGCTAGGACGCATTTGAAACTGATCTCACAGCCCATTGTTGTTATATCTTTTACTATTTTACTTACTATGATTGAGCATGCATCAAGACTTTAAAAAAAGGAATTTCCACAGGACGCACAAGGAAAAATAAAAGTGACATATAGAAATGTTTACAGTAAACACTGTGAAGAACTGGGAGCACCAGTCTAATGACAGGAACTGTTGTGAAGTCCTCCCCCCAGACATTAAATGTGAAAATGACCTTTTGTTTCATGGAACAGAGCTCAGATAAGACCATATGGAAATATTATATGCATACACAAGTTCCCCCCCTCTGATTAAATTATTTGCATGAGATATGTGTTTGTACAAAAGACCTTGAGTCATTGAAGACTCATGAGAAAAAGGTTTTACAGTGGAGTGTTTATAAAAGATTATTTTTATAAACATTATCTTTTATCAGGCAGCCAGCAGTGACATGAGTGTAAAGAAACTGCATAGAAAATGCAACTCTCTTTCAATAAACATCAATTTTAAGGACAGGTTTTTTTTAAAAGTTGTTAGTAATTTATTACTTAACCTTTCAGGCTAACATACTGCAACCTAAATAGATGCAAGTTTTGTTGTATTCATTTGTTTTTATTAATCCCAAGTCATTTGGGAACAAAGAAAATACATTTTCCTCTTGGCACATGTCAAAACCTGCTCACATTTTATCCAGAAACGTTTAATTTGACCTTCACCAAAACATCGTGTCAGGGTCGTTATTCCTTAGTATAATTTTGCTTTAGCGGGAAATCTACAGTGTAACCTATATGGTAACCAGAAACCCCTTTTAGCCCTGTTTGGTATGTCACAGTTGCATGTGACACATACTTAAAAAAGAAGGTGTCATTGGCAGGCATTGATTATTTATAATTCACTGGTGTCAGGTGGAAGATAAGCATCGCGATGGATTCACCTGAGGTTAAAAACCTGGGTTGGACATTCAGGCTCCTTTTCAATCGCATGAATTACTTACATACAAGATGCATACACAATGAAAAAGAAACAGTGGTGCATGTGGTAGTTGTGAAACTACCAGGCCAGAAATTGCATTAGTACACAGAAACTTTCCACTTCCTCTTCCTGCCCTCATTCACATGTGCTAGGTTTAATTTTTTTTGCACCACATTTTAACTTTTGAAGGCAGCTTGAGGCTGCAGCACGTTCACAGTACACAGTGGTCATGTATGAGATGCACTTAGCGTGGGGATTGGGCTGTGGTGTCATCTTCTTCAAAGGGATGGAACCATGCATCCATTTTACGCTTGAGTCTCTTCTTAAGCTGAAAGCGGCGCTGGACTGAGGTAGAATTGTAAGCTTGGGTCTTTAGTTTGCTGTAGTAATCAGAGAACTTGTTAAACAGGAAAGAAATCGGCATGCCGTTGAGGATTATCCCAAAAGTAATGCATCCAAAGGCCACGATGCGGCCCAGGATAGTTACAGGAACCACATCCCCGTAGCCCACAGTGGAGATACTGACCTGAGAGAGAAAAGGGGAAACAAAATCCTATGTTCAGTTTCCAGGAACGTGTCCTTTAATCAGAGTTATTTTTGATTCTAAGAATGAATTAAAAGTTTAAACTAACAAGTAGTACAGCTGGCCTCGAAAATATCTGCTGAATCGACACTTACTTGTTTAATTTCACTTCAAAAGCAACACAAAGACATTATCTGAAGTCTGCAGTGCAAGTTTAAACATTAAAATATGTAACTTTATTGGACAGTTCTGTACAATCAGGCTGCTGCTTCCATCAAAACCTACACCCTAGCCTCTTTGTGGCTCTTTGTGGCTCTTTGTGGCTCTTTGTGGCTCTAGCAGGTGTCAAAATACTTAAGAAAAAGCACAGACAGCAGACCACTTCCGTTGACCAGTGTTAGGATCGCCATCTTGTAATTCTTTATGAGAAAACAGTTTGGGCAGGGTTTGCCTTTCATGAACTGACATTTAAGAAATTTATACAAATAGACTAAAAAAAATGCTGAGAAGAATTTAGTTTTTTAAGCCAAACATAAGTACAGATCACTGCATGTTACATTTGTGAAAATCAATTAATTTCTGTGTTTGACTAATAAGTAGTGGAATAATAACCCTTGATCTAGAGAGTGTTTACATTTCTAGACATGTGAAAGTCACACTTGTAGGTGTTAGAACGTTCAACTTATTGCTCAGGGGAAGAGTAAGTAGGTGAAAAAAGACTGCAAAAGGAAATAAGCTGCTGGTTTGGGTTAGGGCTTAGATGCTGTAGTACACATCTCTTTGAACCTTCCTTTTATTAGCGCACATAATAGGCAGATGTTTGCTTAGAAAGAAAAAGTCAAAGGCAGACGTGGAGATGTGGAGTTTATAGCTACAGACAGTGATACTTACTGCTGCCCACCACCAGGCATACGGGATACTGCTGATGGGAGAGCCCTCGGTTTCCCTTTCTGCTGAATGCAGGAGAGCAGAGAATGTGAAGATTCCCAAGGCGATAAAGAGAAAAATGCAAGAGGCCTCCTGGTAGCACCTCCGCAGAGTAAATG